TGGAAAAATAAGCATTAGGCAGAAACAAAAATAGAAGCTAAAAGGCTTGGTAGGAGAAAAAAGAAATTGAAGGTTGGATGAAGGATGATGGAGAAGAAGATCTAGGATGGAGGTCAAAGGAAAAATGGTTAGAGTGAAAAAGACGACGACATCTGCTATACTTAAAACTGCAGAAATAACCTAGAGATAATGACTGTATGGATGGCCTCGTTAAAGAGAAAAACGCTTCTGTTACTAAATGAAAGAATCTGCAGACGAGGCCGTCACATAAGTGCTCTGCTCTTTACCGGTCTCATGAGATAGTTCTTGACCTTGTTTCACTTAATGTCTTTCCCTCATTTCTTCCATAATAGTGTAATGTCATGACTGACAGCTCAGGCACTCGGTCAAGGCTGTGGTGATATAATGGGACTAATGTTAGGCCGGTAGGAAGTCTATGCAAACAAATGTTACAGAGCAGTGCAATATTTCACAAGACAGGTGGAAAAATAAGCATTAGGCAGAAACAAAAATAGAAGCTAAAAGGCTTGGTAGGAGAAAAAAGAAATTGAAGGTTGGATGAAGGATGATGGAGAAGAAGATCTAGGATGGAGGTCAAAGGAAAAATGGTTAGAGTGAAAAAGACGACGACATCTGCTATACTTAAAACTGCAGAAATAACCTAGAGATAATGACTGTATGGATGGCCTGCAGACGAGGCCGTCACATAAGTGCTCTGCTCTTTACCGGTCTCATGAGATAGTTCTTGACCTTGTTTCACTTAATGTCTTTCCCTCATTTCTTCCATAATAGTGTAATGTCATGACTGACAGCTCAGGCTCTCGGTCAAGGCTGCGGTGATATAATGGGACTAATGTTAGGCCTGTAGGAAGCATAGATGCTGTTTTTGCCCCGGGAACTTTGAAGACCATGCATCTGTTCAATGGCATAGTATATTTAGAAGAATTTTGACACTGTGCTATTTTTGTCCCTTCTGATGAGGATGATTAGGGGAAAAAAAGAAAAAGAAAAAAAAGAGTCCTTTCATGTGGTCATTACACCACAGTAATGCTTGTGAAATGGGAATGGGAGCAGGGTAGGTAATAAACTGACAACTTACATTGAGACTTGTCAGAATATAATGAATGCATCAAATACATCAAGTTCTTTGATTCCAAGAACACAACTTCAAGATGGCCTCAACATTACTTTTTCCTTATTAGTTTCAGACGATGAGATCAATAGCACTTTTGACAATATGAGTAAAAAGAGGTACATCAGATGAGAATTCCTATCATCGACTAAGGATGTCAAAACTACGGGTACTGCATTACCAAATCAATACTGAGAAAATAATAATAACAATAAATATAAAAAAATAGATAAATCTTCTGCAGTCTTCTCTCAAATGTGCTTCTTGGTAAAAAATGTCCCGCTTTCTGAGATATTAATGTATTAAACACAGCAGTGTTAGGGGTAACGCATTACAAGTAACAAGTTACATAATCAGATTACTTTTTTAAGTAACTAGTAAAGTAACACATTACTTTTTCCAAGCAGGAGAAGTCAAAACTAGAGTGCAAATTCTGCGACCCACTCTGGTGCCAAATCCCTACAAAGTGATTTGAACAATGAGTCTGCGACAAATCTGGATCAGCATGAACAGGATCATAAGAGAGATTTGCTACAAAGCCTGACAACAGATAATGTTATCTGAAGCAAATCTGACATTTGCACAAGCTGTTGAAACAGCTCTCAGTATGCAAACTGGGGACCACAACTTGAACTACTTAAAATTAAAATAAGGAACATGACAAAGCCTGAATAGAGTGTAAATATAATGTGAACAATGAGTCTGTGACAAATCTGGATCAGCATGAACAGGATCATAAGAGAGATTTGCTACAAAGCTTGACAACAGATAATGTTATCTGAAGCAAATCTGACATTTGCACAAGCTGCAAACACTTCTCCAAATTTTCAAACGTTTAACCTCACAGACTATTTGGTTTTCCCCATCGATATGTGCTATACTGACCTTTCTGAAGACGAGAGGACTAACTTGCTGCCTCTACTTCCAAAAAGACGACACTTCTGCACATGCCTATGAGGATGCCCAAGATTATGGGGAGATAGAGGTTCATTAAGGGCACGTATTCTGTCAAGGGAGTCGATGTGGTGGCCAGTGTTGGCAGCAGTTCCGTAGTAGAAGATGATGGTGTCAAGTCAAGTCATCTTTATTTCAAAGCAGTAATGCAAACTTCATGAGAAAAAATTCTAATTCTGCTGTAAAGCAGTTCTGACAAGCCTATAATGTCATTATTCAGCTGAACTCAGTTTAAGTTTTATTTAGTAGCAGTGTCAGTGTTCATCAATTATGAAACAACTTCAGTTTCAGCTATAAAGCAGCTCTACAGAAGACAACAGTGCCATTAATCAGCTCAATTCAGTTTAATTTTTATTCGCACTCGATAGTGTCAATGACATCAAATCAATAAAAATGACTGAATATTAAGTGTTTTTAAATTAACCCAGGCTCATTGAAAATACCAGTGAGTGGAGCTAAAACATGCATTCAGTGTGTGACTGTGGCACATTTTTACTACGTTGCTTCAAGGCTGTTGAAACAGCTCTCAGTATGCAAACTGGGGACCACAACTTGAACTACTTAAAATTAAAATAAGGAACATGACAAAGCCTGAATAGAGTGTAAATATAATCATGACTTTGCTAGAAGGTTGTAAGCAAATAGTTTGATGCTAGCTTGTTCTAGCCTATACCTGTACTACTATCTCATGCATAGCTTCAGAGATTATTCAACAGCGCTTTTGATCTGATATATGGAGTCTATCCAGCTTAATCTTGCAAAGAATTAAGAATAATTTAAGGCTCACAATGAAGTGAGTCACTGACAATCCCTTCAAGAAGGACAAAAGATGAACTCTAAAAAGGCTGAGACGTTTCCAAAAATGCAGGCTCAGGGTAAAAATACAAAAAAGCCCAAATGTGATATTGGTAATAAAGCCAATGTCAAAAGAACTACATATTGTGCATTAGAATATGCTGATGATGCTGATGCAGTGCATTTTTTAAATATCACAGGGAAGTGTTTCCGCGGAGGTCTTCAAGTAATGAGAAAGTTACAACTAAAAACCTGACATTGTACAATGTGGAAAGACCAAAAATACAGGCCCACTTTTTAGGTTGAGTTAGTGTGGGAATATAAAAAGATGGCAAGCTGAATAGTAGACTATAGGAACCACCTGTACTTTGACCTCAGGTGCAAACAGCATGGGCTCATTCCTCTCAGCTTACTCCTGAGGCCTGTGATGAAAGATCACAAGACTAACAACTGGACATGTGTCCTTTAATATAGCACATGGATATACTAGTGTCTACAACTTAGACACTATAATGCAGGGGCAAGAACACCAATAGCAGCTAGAACACTCTACCAAGAGGATAATGATCTGGCAAACTCTCTGAGAGGGCACTCTTCCAGTGAAAGTAATGACCTGCTTGTTTGGAACTGACACTTTTGTAACTTTTGTAACTTTTCAGGGTTGACTGATGAAAGCTTGTACACTCTAACTCCCAGAGAATGAACAGAATCAGTTCGATCAGACCAGAGCTTGCCTTTTCGGACAGTTCTTGCCAGTTTTGAGTGCAATATGGATTAGATGGTTAATGAATGGTCAATATTGCACAAGGTAAGTCATTAGTAACATAACTCTAACAGCTTTCAATGCACTGTGTCTCTCCTTGAGACTAGTCTTCCTCAAGGTATAACGTGACATTGCCAGGCCACCGCAAAGACCAGTGACCGTGACCGCAGTCATAGCCTAGAGCAGCCAAAAGCTTTGACTTTATACATGGTTTCAGTTTTTTTTTCTTGAGGCATTTTACCACTGTTATCTTCTGCTTACCTGACTGACCATTCTCCCCCCACAATCTTGTCGCAAAGCCTGCATATTCTATCAGTTTCTTTGAATCTTTCATTTTAGACTTGTGATGTTGTTAGACTCAGCACTGATGTTCCCATATGCAAACCCAATGACTTGGAATCATGGGGGGTTGATGAGACGTCACAGAGACAGCAGATCACTTATTATGGACGGTTATTTTCAGCACAATGAAAATAACTCTTGTGATGGCATAACAACAGTCTGAGATGAATGTTTATTCATTCTCTGTATGCATGAAGGCATTTCACATTTCCACCAAACATGGTATATGTTACCAATCGTCACATAAACTGTACCCTCAATATAACACAACTATTTATGATATATCATTAATAAACACTTCTCCAAATTTTCAAACGTTTAACCTCACAGACTATTTGGTTGTCCCCATCGATATGTGCTATACTGACCTTTCTGAAGACGAGAGGACTAACTTGCTGCCTCTACTTCCAAAAAGACGACACTTCTGCACATGCCTATGAGGATGCCTAAGATTATGGGGAGATAGAGGTTCATTAAGGGCACGTATTCTGTCAAGGGAGTCGATGTGGTGGCCAGTGTTGGCAGCAGTTCCGTAGTAGAAGATGATGGTGTCAAGTCAAGTCATCTTTATTTCAAAGCAGTAATGCAAATTCTGCTGTAAAGCAGTTCTGACAAGCCAATAATGTCATTATTCAGCTGAACTCAGTTTAAGTTTTATTTAGTAGCAGTGTCAGTGTTCATCAATTATGAAACAACTTCAGTTTCAGCTATAAAGCAGCTCTACAGAAGACAACAGTGCCATTAATCAGCTCAATTCAGTTTAATTTTTATTCGCAGCAATGAAAACATCTCAGTTTTCTCATGCGGTAATATGCCACCATACCTGGTTGAAGCATAATACATTATGTAAAAAAAGCAATAAATCTGAGGAACAGACAAATATTGACATAAGCGAATATGAAAATTGTAATATATATATAGTATATACATAGAAAGAATGGAAGAAAAAAAACAAAATCCTCACGTGAACCTAATCTGTATAAAAACTTTAAGCAATAGTAAGAACACACATACCATATCTGTGTCTGATACTGGCCCGAAGCTTGTCACATAGATGTTTGTCCTCACCTCAGTCACACTTTCTGATTGGACAAAAAGACAAAGAAAGAGTATGTGTAAGAGCAGAAATAACTGCTATGTAAAACAAATATTAAATTAATTTTAAAGCTATAAATCTGTAAAGGCAACAATGAGATATATGTCTAATGTCACCTGACCAAACTGAAAAACAGGTCTCATCGCATCCGCTTGTCAGAGAAAGTGTTAACAGCAGTATGAACTGATGCCAATATCTATGGAGTTTTAGGCAACCTATGACTTTTAACAACCTAGCTAGGTGTTTTTATTGTTGACATTTTATTCATTTGAATAAATATCAGAATGTCCGCTACAATTGCAGCAACTAACCTTACTGAGCAAATTCAAAAAACATCTATTTGTTAGTAGATGTATATTGTCCTTTATGGTGGTGTATTTGGTTGTTTTATTTAGAGAATTCACTGGAACAGAGATTGTCTGAATGAGAAATTGAGCACATATTGCAACACTCATGTTGTCTATGACTGGGTTCACCACTGACTAGAAGGAAGGATAATACTTTATGTAATGAACTTGTTGTTAATGGGAATTTAGAGTCAAATAATTCCACTTGGCTCACTACAGCTCCTGGTTTCAGCAAGCATTAAAAAAGATCACACAATTACTGATTTTAAGAGTGCTGACAGCAGATTTGCAGATTTTTAGAGTGGGTTAGAAGAAAGATTATGCCTCCCAATTTAGGGTCCAGCAAAGTCTTGAGACTATACTGTAAATGCCATTAAAGGGGTCATGAACTGCCTCTGTTTTTTAAATTTTTTATGAAGCAATAGTGACCACAAAATAAAAACAGTTACTCACACTTGTGTGTTGTGACATTTCTGTCGGATCCAAAATATTCGGCACAGCATTGTCTTTTAGTTTCAATATGTCTGAAAATAATGCGTCGAATTGTGCCTTTTTTGGAAACGAATCCGCGATAAAATGAAGTGAACAAAGGACCAAGTTCTTACTGACGTGGCCTGCATCTTCATAAAATAAATAAAGTATATTGTTTGATTTCAGCATAGACCTTTGTTTGCCTAACTTAGTATTTACCTATTACACGTGCAAATCGGTGGGGGGGGGGGGGGGGGGGGGGGCTCGTTTTGGCAGATTTTTATACTAATGAGTTCTGAAACTTACAGAAGGTTTTTAGTACAATGACCTATTATAAATCAAAAGATCAAGGGAATTTTGATTTCTTAGTCTATGACCCCTTTAATCTTTCCATAAGAAAACTTGCCTGAAACACTTTGTTTGTACTCCTTCCAATATTTCTGTGGCTACGTCACCATGTTACACATTTGCACAATTTCCACCTACTGGCTGCTTTTGCCCAACTTCAGAAAGCATTTGGGGAAATGATTTTATGTCATGTCGATGAGATACAGATTTTTTCACTGTGAGAGAAAAAAACATTGTATGGAGTTCCAATACAGCACCACTTTTTACAGCTGCTCACGATGCCTTGAGGGCTGAAAATTAATGGTAACTGGCATTACATTTCTGACAAACTCTGAGCAGTTGACCAATTAATACAGACTCGGACTAATGACCAATCAGAGCAGACTGAGCTTTTTATTAAGCCTTATGCTTTAAAAAGACAGGACTTAAAACATAGTGTTTCAGGCAGAGGGTGACAATAGGTGCCATAGTAATGTATATTATGAGAAAAATCATGTCTTTTTAACTTTAAATCATCTAAGCAGACCCCAAAAATAAAATTGTGAACTTTTAAATGCCTATAATATGTGCACTTAAAAAATGTCCTGTGTGTGGCACACTCTAGGCCTTTAACCACCTGAAGTAAGTCATCAAGTTCCAGTTAGCAACTTTGAAGTGATGAGTACTGTAATGCACATCAGCAACTATGTAAAGCAGGGTGGAAATGGAAAGATTTGATGGAGCTTGAGAGGGGTGACTGGACGGGAGCCAGGATTGTGGAGACAGCAGGACTCAGGCAGTAGAGGCGATAGAAGCTGTCCAGCTCCACAGTGTCAGCCCCGCAGCTCTCAGTGTGCCAATGTGACTTAGCCCATTTATCAAAAGCATACATCTTGATTTTTGACTGCCCACAGCTGGGCTCACAATTTAGGATCTGTACTTTTAGAGGTCACTAGGGATTCACTCTGTGAAGGAGAAAAAAAATATACGCAGAGGGAGATGGTCTAATGGACATCTGTGGAACATTTCTATAAATGCCATTGGGACGTAGACTATAGTGCATCGATGCTCAGCATTTAATGAATCCAGAATGACCAGGGGATCCGATCAGCTTCTTAATTATGATTAAATGAGCAATCTGTGGGTGCGCCATCACAGCAGCGGTCAAGACTTTTCTTTATTTTCATCAGCCATCTTCAACTCATGATTTGTAAGCGATCTCAGGAGAGCGCTGTTCTGTGACAGATTTTGCTATTGATAAAAATCACAGTGCCAAGAGAAGATGAATCATTTCACTGTTCCAAAACACAATCTGTCATGGATTCAGAGGTGTGAGACTTGTGCTAAGAAGTGTAAATATGAAAGACAGACTGATGAAAAACACGCTCCATCTGCAAGCCAAAGGTAAGGCCAGCATGTGGACACTGGAGACACTGACGAAGGAAATGTGTATAGGCATTTATCATACCTCCTAGTCCGGGACGCAATCTGTTATCGTAACCATCCAGCAAGCGGTCCAAGATCCGGGTAAAGATGGTGATGTTGTCTTTGCTGTCATCAGGAATGGGTTCTCGGTGACCTGTTACAACCCTGTGGAGAAGAAAAAAGAGATTCAGTTCTCGTAAAGATAGTAAGGATGCTTTGAAAAGAAGCAAATAGGCCACAAGAAGAAAAAAAAAACAGATAGAAAGAAGGCCACTAAGCAATAAGAGTCTGAAGTCATAAATAGAAGAATGGATAGAGAAGAAGAGAGATTGATCTGGTCAACATCTTTGATCTTTCCTTCTTTGAGCATGTGGTGCGATTGAAGGGTAGGAGATGCAGTCATTATGAATGGGTTCAGGACAGGTCCTACAAATATCAGCTCGACTTCATCTAACAATCAAAAACTAAAGCCTGACCACAATTCAAATGGATCCTAGCTCTTTCTACCATAGACCCAAATTCCTGATTTTCCTTGACTCAACTGACACAATCCCCAAACCTTAAAATGCAGCTTCTTCTAGGAGGTGACTGATTGGTTGGTTGGTTGATTGATTGATTGATTGAAAAAGAGTTCCACATTTAATACTTATTTCATATGCAAATATGTAAACCAATCATAGCAGTGGATGTTTAAATTGAAGTATTAAAGGTGACAGGCCCTTTTGAACAAAGTTGAAATAAGAGGGCTAAAATTAGGGCAGAAAATGGTCTTTTATTTCTCAATTATAATAGGTGCAGTGTTTTAGTTTTACATTTGATTATTTAGTTTCTGTAGTATTTCTTACTTGAATACCACTTCTGTGAATATACCTGTCTGAACAACATGCACACCAAGTCAGTAGGAAAATGAGTTAAAGTGACAAAAAATTAAAATAAATAAATAAAAAACAGACAGAATGACAGAGCAGAGGAGTGATAGAACTAATTGAACCCCAAGTGGATTAGTGAAACCTGTCACACAATTGAATATGGCTTTGCAGAAATCCCAGCTCTGGGATTTGGCTGCATTATATCCCAAAAGTTGCAAATGCATTCTTGAATATTCAGCCAACCCCTGGTTCTTTAATTACCTGGAATATGCAGAATAATTATGTCTTGCTGGGGCTGTGATTCCCCGATGAACAATGCAGTGGCACGATGGAGGGCGTGATAGACAGAAAGCTGATGAGATAATGAGTGCTGTCCTCAATCAAGGGCTGTGCTGGAAGCGACCTTGCGCCAATTACATGCTGACCTTTAAAGGCCTTAAAATAGCATGCAAAACAAAAGGTTTGTCAAAAACACACGCATTGCATTTGGCAATGTTTCATAAGGTTTTGTTTAGTCCTCTTGTGGCAGCAAAAACATGATCACGTTGCTGGATAAACTTGTTTTAGACTTACTTATCATTCTGCACAACACTGAGTAGTCATTTGTGGGAAGAATGATGCTTCACACCACTGATACAGAGAAAGTGATCCCATATTACTAGCTGAAATGTCTTTGCACATTTCTCATTATAAAATATAACGGTTGAATGAAAAAAAAAATCATTCAATTTACAATGAAACAGTGAAAAAAAAATGTTTTATAAAAGTTTAGTTTCATTATTATTTTTAATGTCTCTTTATGAAGTTTGACATGGTGAATATAAAAAAATCAATAAACAGTTCTAGCTGAAATGTCTTTGCACATTTCTCATTATAAAATATAACGGTTGAATGAAAAAAAAAATCATTTAATTTACAATGAAACAGTGAAAAAAAATGTTTTATAAAAGTTTAGTTTCATTATTATTTTTAATGTCTCTTTATGAAGTTTGACATGGTGAATATAAAAAAATCAATAAACAGTCGTCCAAAACTTCAGAAGTGTTTGTTGGATGATGTTTGCCTTTTATGACTAGTCCCACAATGTTCTGGAATGTTCCACAAAGCACTAGAATATTCCAGAATGTTACAGAAACTTCAAGAATGTTCCTTTCCTTGCAGAAGCAAAATATATTTTAAAAACATGCAAAATTAGTACAAAAAAGTTATCTGTACTAAACTAATGTTTCATGATTCATTCTAGAAATTCTAAAATTGACCTGACCTAAATATTTACCAAATATTGATGCTACGGGAAAATAAATAATACAAAAATAATTAGTACCACGTAATTACAGAAGAATCATAAAACTTTAAGTGATTTTTTTTTACATTGTGTCATAATCATACTATCTTGACATAATTATTATCAAATTAATAAGCTGCTCCAGGAAATAATTATATATTAATTTTTTTGCATTAAATATTGTACATTAATTTTACTCACTACTAATGCATATAATGTCACTATAAATGCAAACTAAACAAATAAATATAATAAAATAAAATGAACAAATGAGCATGTTTTATTAATTATTATCTTATTCATATTTTATTTCATACACCTATTAGTTCACATTTTTACATGCAGTAGTCAGCAAATATGCTGTACTTGCTTTTATCTTGCAGCACTGGTAAAAAATAAATAGCCTCATAATTCATGTGCTTAAATCCAGTATACTGGACATTGAATATTACTTAGTTTCCTCCAACAGAAAAGCAGAATTAACAGTTTGCTATTTAATATGTAACAATTAGCATCAACAAAATGTTGTTTACTTGTAAAGTTGCCCATGCATCTCTGGACTGAGGAGCTTAAAGAGGTTTGAATGAATGATTCTCCACTTTGCACTTTTGAAAACGGTCACAAGAGCCCATTACAGAGATCATCAAACTGAAACATGAGCAAAATCCCTTTTAGTGTTGCAGCATATAACAGAAGCTACAAAAAACAAGCCTTTCTGTAGTGCCAGAGTGTGTTTAGGAGAGTGTTTGTGAGCTGTATTTTTCCATCAGAGTACTCTGGCATATTTTGTACTGAATCATCTCAAGAGGCCGTCGACTTTATTGTGGAGCTGAAAATGCAGCAGCACGGAGAGGTAAACATGGCGGAACGGCTGCTTTCAGCCAACAGCAAAGGCAGACCAGCCTCTGTCCAATGCTAATTCATTTTCTTTGGGTTCACACCTCCTTGCAGGAAAACCTTGTCTCACCTGAGTGTGGAGGGGCTTAGCCGAAAGCATTGCAACGACTGACTGATAAGGGGCCCTTTGTATTTCTCCCAGAGCTCAACGGCATACCATGTGACTGATCTGTGTGTGTGTGTCAGCCGGCCGGTGAGGGATCAACCAGACCTGTCAGTGACGTGACATTTTGGAAGCTGATGATCTTCCCATTGTGTTGCGGTTCAGGAGTTCTGATAATTTATTCATTTCAAGAAAGCCACCCAGATGACAAATTGCAGTTTTTTTAAGTGACACTCAAGAGCACCGTTTGTATGCGGAAACTGCATCCTGCCTTCATTGCTGCTCTTTTAAATATCGGCTCATTGATATTAATCAGCTGTAGATCATGCAGCCTCTTTCCGTTTACAGAAACATGGCTGCTCTATTCAGCAGCTCACAGTGTAAGTGAAAGAACAATGGAAACTGTCTATGGCCGTACTTTCTGTTGTTTGTGTTGAGGAGATAAAATGAGCTAATGCCTGATTAACTGGGGAGACGGGCTGAACATTGTGGCTCTTCATGGTGTGCCTGCACATTGCAATTTTTTGTATTACTGAATTGAAGCTAATGAATGGCTGTTACTTGCCAGAGACGCTCATCCTGTGAAGATGGCCATTCAGTGAACTCAAACCAGAGGTTTATTAGTAGGATTCATGAGGCTACCATTCAAGTCCTCCTTTGCGTTTGATTGCCAGCCTCTCCAGCAGGTTTACGTAACCCTGTGAAGGCGAATCTTTAAAGGTAATTTACAGCCCATTAAAACAAGCAGAGGAGGATGAGAATGAGTGCACGGTAGGGCGAAAGTGAAGTATGGAGCGATTGCCAAATGAAAAAAATACAGCTGAAGAAAGATGATACAAGCTACCGAGTTTCATTCCCCACGCATCTCTACACTACAGTCCTGAAGGAAAACCTTGGAGAAGTTTCTCTTCAAATGCATTCTAGGGCTCTAGCCTTCATTGTCGACCACAAACAAGTACTTTCAACGCAGAAGTAAGCAGTTTTCTGTGAATGTGCGAGAATTCCAATTCATTAGCCGATATAGGAAAATATTGAGAAGAATAACAATGCGCAGTAAACGGTAAAACGTTTTGCACTACAAACCAGTGTGTTATTAGTTAAGATAATACATTGAAATAATATAATAAGACACACCAATTTGCAATGATCAAGCAGCAAAATTTGCTGTTTTGTACAGCTAAAATAAGCTGGAAGCGGATGACACCGGAAGCCAAACCTAAAAAATTGACAATTAATGGCCGCTCTTACTGGAAAAATACGGTGGGTAAGTTTCCACTGGTGCTGTGACCTAGTGGTTAGTGAGACATGGAGCTCAATTAGTCAATCAAGTCTGGCTCCAATAATTTTCTTGTCTTCTCTCAACTATTAATATCAATTATAAAATAATACAAAAATTTTTGAGAAAATGTGAAAGGATCCGAATGCTTTTCACCATGTTGATATATGGTTGCCAGGATGTTCTGAATGGTTCCAAGGGCTCTCCTAAGTGGTTTCTAGGATATTCTGGGTGGAGCTATGCGGTTGCTTACTGGTGCACAGAAACGGAGCCCTTCAGGTCTCTAAGGGCCTGTTTACACCTGGTCACTACATGCGTTTTCTCCGAAACGCTCAAACCACTTAAGGAGGTCCAGACGAAACTGGACAAGTGTAACTGCATCTGGTTTTTGAAACCACATATATCAATTTTACTCCTCCCAAAATGTGAAAAAAAATGTGTGAGAGCGTCTTATAGGCTATATGACATGCTCTAATCAGATATGACACCGGTAATGCAACACGCATTGCCGTGGATGAGTAGCTGAGTATCTCTTCAGCAAGCTGATGTGCAACTGCCGCAAATGAAACTGAGAGTAAGACGCAGAGGCTCAACACACAAGAATTCATTAAAAGTAGGACTAACTTATCTTTCCAGTACTGATGCAGCGCTCTCTTCTATTGCAGTCATTGATCTTGAAATTAGCTGATGATGAATAAAATGCAGCACATATGTGACCCTGGACCACAAAAGCAA